CAGTAACGTCTCCATTGGAGACTTTGTTGTTACTGTGTTTGGCATATCGAATACATCACGGGGATTTTGCCAGGCTCTGCCATGCGGGCGAAATACTCTCAGTAGCTTGCCGGGCTCTCTGAGAGGGGCGGAGGAATCGAACTCGGGTCGGCCATGTTGGCTGCGTACATGGCAAACGCCCTACCACTGTGCTATCGCTCCAGCCCAAATATATATATATATATATATACATATATATATGATAACCTTATCTGTATTGCAAACCATAATGCCCAAAAGGAGAGAGAGGAGAGAGAGAGAGAGAGAGAAAGGAAAAGTGCATGCCATAGAAGCAGGAGGGTGGCAAGAGGGAAACTGGGGACATTGGTGTTGGGAAATGTCCACCGGTGAAGGGACAGGTGTTGGAACATGATATGATTGAAACCAGTCATGAACAACTTTATAGTGGTGCATCTCACTGTGGTTCAATTAAGACATAAAAGGTCTCAATATACTTCTTTAAAAAAATTTTTACTTGTGGGTGGTTGAGGGGCCCATATCCAGTCGTGCTCAGGGCTTACTCTGACTCTGTGCTCAAGAATTATTCCTGGTGGTACTTGGAGGACCATATGTGGTGCTAGGGATCAAATCAGGTTCAGCTAAGTTCAAGGCAAGTGCCTTAGCCTCTGTACTCTCTCTGATCCTATAAAATATCTCAGTATACTTGTAAGTCATTATGATCCCACCTGGTATGTCTGGAGGCTATGTAGCTTATGCACCTGACTCATTGTCTCCTGAGAGAGGTTCTGCCTATTCCAGAGATGCCTTTTTTGTTTTTATTTTTGGTTTTTGGGTCATGCTCAAAGATGCTCAGGGGTTACTCCTGTTTTTTGCACTCAGGAATCACTCCTGGTAGTGTTCAGGGGATCATGTGCGATGACAGGGATCAAACACTGGTCAGCCACATGCAAGGCAAACACCTACCATCTATGCTATCTCTCCAGCTCTTAGAGACGCCTTCTTAAATGTTGTATTGTGGGGTTGTGTTTGTTTGTTTTTGTTTTGTTTTTTTTTTGGCTATACCCAGTAGTGCTCAAGGCTTATTCCTGGCTTTGGGATCACTCCTGATGGTGTTTGACGGACCCTGGTTGACCACAAGCAAGGCAAGCGCCCCACCTGCTGCACTGTTGCTCTGGCCCCAAATGTACTGTTTTGGTTTTGTTTTGCAGGAAACAACCTGCAAAAGCTTTATATAATATCTCATTTAATTAGACTTTAATTTAATTAGACTTTGTTATGCAGAAATGGTAGAGAATGATGCTATCTTAGGCTCAATCCTGTGCTTTTTCATGTTACCTCGTAGTGACCTAACTCCTTAAGATGGTTTCAACGGCTGGAATATCTTCTTTTCTCTGCCTATTTCCATCAACTTTTAAATAACAGCCTTATTGAAGTATAATTCATATGCCATCCAACTCACCCATTTAAAATTTACATTAGACAGTATATTTACAGGATAGACATTCAGAATAGTTTTAGCACTTTTTATTTTTTAATTTTTTTATTTTTTGCTTTTGGGGTCACACCTGGCGATCCTCAGGGCTGACTCCTGGCTCTGCACTCAGGAATCACTCCTCACGGTGCTCGGGGGACCCTATGGGATGCTGGGAATCGAACCTGGGTTGGCTGCGTGCAAGGCAAACGCCCTACCCGCTATGCTATCGCTCCAGCCTCTTAGCGCTTTTTATTACCCCTCAACAGTAACCCTATTAAGGGGTCAGAGCAATAGCACAGAGGATAGGGCATTTGCCTTACACATGGTTGATGCAGTTCAATCCCTGGCATCACATACGATCCCCCTGAGTACTGCCAGGAGTGATCCCTGAGCACAGAGGCAGGAGTAAATCTTGAGCATCACTGGGTATGGTTCAAACTGCCCTTCCCCCAAAACAACCCTATTCACTGAGCCATCACCTCAGTTCACTCATTAGCTCCCTTCCTGTGTCATAGGTAATCAATAATCTGTACCTTCTGTCTCCATAGACCTTCTTATTCTGTGCATTTCATATAAATGGAATAATCCAATATGTGGTTCTTTATGACTGACTTTTTAATCACTTTTTTATTTAGCATAATATCTTCAAGATTTATCCATATTGTAGCACGTATCAACACTTTATTTCTTTTCTCTGTGAGAGGAGCTTCCCAAACATTTCTCAGGGAGCCTAGGGCTGCTCTCAACAATATTAATCTCTGTGGGGGGGGGCGAGTCAGCCTGGTGCCCTCCCAAGCAGAGCCCCCGGCAGCTACTTGCTCCCACAATTCAAAATTGGCACCATAAGGGTTGGGGTGATAGCACAGCGGGTAGAGTGTTTGCCTTGCATGTGGCCGGTCCGGGTTTGAATCCCAGAATCCCATATGGTCCCTTGAGCACTGCCAGGAGTAATTCCTGAGTGCAGAGACAGGAGGAACTCCTGTGCATCGCCAGGTGTGACCCAAAAAGCAAAAAAAAAAAAAAAAAAAAAAAAGAGTTAGCTCCATTAAGTTTGGGGCTGGAGCAATAGCACAGCAGGTGTTTGCCTTGCATGTGGCCGACCCGGGTTCAATTCCCAGCATCCCATATGTCCCCCTAAGCACCGCCAGGGGTAATTCCTGAGTGCAGAGCCAGGAGTAACCCCTGTGCATTGCAGGGTGTGACCCAAAAAGAAAAAAAAATTGGCACCATGCCCCCGGCCTGCCTCCACCGTCTCAGGATGGACCTCACCAAGAATAATATGCTGAAAATTCTGGTATGCAGGTTTTGTGCCTGAAATCTCCAGGCTTTCTCATGGTCCAGATGGGCTACCTACCCTCAACGTCCCTGTATTTCTGGAAGCCTCAGCAGTCACATCCACACCCCAAAGCTGCCACCCAACTGAAAAGCTATTCCAGTCTTAGTGTCCTGGTAAAAATACTGAATGCACTAAACAAACACCATGACCTCTTAGCACCTGTATTGTAAATCATAATGCGCAAAAGGAAAAGGAGAGAGAGAGCAAAAAGGAAAGTGCCTCTCATAGAGGGAGGCAGAGGGTAGGGTGTGAGGTACTGGGGGATGGTGGTAGGGAGACAGGGGACATTGGGGAGGGAAATGTACACTGGTAGAGGGGTGGGTGCTGCATCATTATATGACTGAAACCCAGTTATGAACAGCTTTGTAATGGTCTATCTCATGGGTATTCAATTTAAAAAAATTTTTAAATAGTAATGTGGAGTTCATGCCCAATTCAATCAGCTTAATCAGTGGCTGAATGAATAGCAATATTCCTATATTAAAAAAATATTAATCTCTGTTCCAGAGACGACTTAGTTGTTTTTATTTTTTTAAGTTTTGGGGCACACCCAAAGATGCTCAGGGATCACTCCTGGCTCTACACTCAGGAATTATACCTGGTAGTTCTCAGAGGACCGCATGGGATGCTTAGTATTGAACCCAGGTCAATCATGTGCAATGCAAGCTCCCTACCTGCTGTACTGTCTCTCTGGCCCCTCATTTTAACATTTAAAGATTTGTAAATAATTGGACTCTGCTATGAGTTTGGTATTAAGTTTATTTTTGCTAACTGATATCATAATTAACATTTCATTTTATCTGTGTGTTCAATAATTTTCATGTCACTGAAGGTATTTTATAGCTCTCATATACTCTATAGCTTTGTGAATTATCTATATTAAACTTTTATACTGTCATGATTTGATAAGTTTTTATTATTTCCTAAATTACTTTTCAATAAAGCCTAGATTTTATTAGTTTTGTCTTCTTGCATAGTTTACTTGGGCTGGAGCAATAGCACAGTGGGTAGGGTGTTTGCCTTGCACGCGGCCAACATGGCCGACCCGAGTTCGATTCCTCCACCACTCTCGGAGAGCCTGGCAAGCTACCGAGAGTATCTTGCCCGCATGGCAAAGCCTGGCAAGCTACCCGTGACATATTCTATATGCCAAACACAGAAACAACAAGTCCCACAACGGAGACGTTACTGGGCCCGCTCGAGCAAATTGATGAGCAATGGGAGGTCAGTGACAGTGACAGTGACATAGTTTACGTAAGGCAAATATTGTATTCTCTACTATCATATGGTAAAAATATTCTAGTCTTTAAAGAAAGACCTTTTTTTGAAAATGAACTCAGATTTATTAAAAACAAATCTTTATGTTACAGAAAATTACTCTAAACAACAGAGCAAAGAATAATGTTCCCAAATACCTTGACTTCTTAAAAACATGAACTATAATAAATAATGAAAATTCAAATAATGTAAGTTAACAAATTACTTCTCAATAAGCAAATTTAGGAAATAAATGTTGTTGAATAAATTGTAGTGAATTAATCTTGTCATGGTGAGTCTAACAAAATTTTTTGATGGTTTAAAGCCAAGATTTAAAGAAAGACTTTTAAAAAATCCTTATTTGAGCCAACATTATTCCTGAAAGATAAATGGGACAGTTACATAATTTTTTGTTTTATGGCAGAGAGTAATTTCTTTAGGGTTTTTTTTTTTTTGCTTTTTGGGTCACACCCGGCAATGCACAGGGATTACTCCTGGTTCTGTGCTCAGGAATTACCCCTGGCGGTGGTCAGGGGACCATATGGGATGCTGGGAATTGAACCCGGGTCAGCCGCGTGCAAGGCAAACGCCCTACCCGCTGTGCTATTGCTCCAGCCCCGTAATTTCTTTAGTTTTGGGTGGTTTTTTTAACTCTTTTATTTTGGGTTATACCCAGTCGTGCTCAGGGCTTACTCCTGAATCTGTGCTCAGGGATCACTCCTGATGGGGCTCAGGGAACCATATGGGGTACAGAGATCAAGCCTGGGTCAGTTGATGCAAGTTAAGTGTTCTACCCGCTGTACCATCGCTCCAGCCCCTAAACTCCCTTTTAGTGTTCACTGCAGTTAAAGTTTTGAATCCTACTTTCCCAGAGGCCAGGATCTAATTCATTCTTCAGTGTCTGTGTAATCCTTCTGAACTTCTGTTCCTCAGGTCTCCCTACAGTCACATGTGTCATTGGCTCAGCAGATGGCACCACCTAGTCCGAGCAGCAGTAATGGGAGCAATGGAAATGACCAGCTGAGTAAGACCAACCTCTACATCCGAGGGTTGCAGCCGGGCACTACTGACCAGGACCTTGTCAAGTTGTGTCAGTCGTAAGTCAGGGTACATGTAGGTAGACTTGGGGACCAATGCAAATGAAATGATTCTAGCTTCTTGCCAGATACTTTTATCCTGAAGTGTATTTATTTTGTAAACTTTTTAATGTTTTATTTTGGGGCCACACTCAGAGGTGCTGAGGGATCACTCCTGGTAGGGCTTGGGATACCATAAGAGATGTTGGGGATTGAACATGAGTCAGCTGTGTGTAAGGTGAAAAACACCCTAACCACTTTCCCTTCTCTCTGGCCCAAGAGATGTATTGTTATTATGTTTCTACCACAAAGTCACAAGGTTTCCTAGTAAAGTCCTTATTTTAAAAAAAATTTAAATTTTATTTTTATAAGGTTGTTCACATTAATTGATTATATTCAATATTTCAACACCAATCCCTCCACCATTACACCTTCCCACCACCATTATTTTAAAATTTCCCATCACCACTCAGTCCTGCCTGCCACAGGCAGATGCTAGATAATTTATTTTCTATTGCTTATTATGAGATCAGACGAGATCGGGCGCATTCAGGGTGGTATGAGAAGTCATGTGGCTGCAAAAGTGGCCGTTTGCTCCTGGAATTCTAAAATTGTAAATGATTGGGGTCCAGAAACATCTCTGTAGGTAGCTAATCCATTCTGAGATTAATTTGTGAGTCTCTGTATCAAGGTCATTGATTGACTCACTTATAAGACACTGGGAGCAGTTTGTGGGCATGACAGCCAGGCCCCAAAGGAGCGGGGAGATGGCAAGGAACAGCCCATCCCCCCCGCCATGTGGCCTGGAGTCTTCAGTCCCTGGTCCTGCGTACCTGGGTTTTTCTTCTGGAAGTTTGTGTCCACTGGGGGTTCATTTGGAGCAGGCAGAGAGGGAACACCTGCTCCATCTGAGGTGCCCTGGTGATATCGACTAGGCACAGGACATGGAGAAATCTCCACCGAGTCTGTCCTAGTAAAGTCCTTAAAGAAATCATACCTGCTACTGTTATATAAAACATTCCTGTGTTTCTCCAAGGAAAAGCCAGGATAGGGCTGATCTTTGAATCTATGTCCTTTTTTTTTTTGGGGGGGTCACACCTGGCCATGCACAGGAGTTACTCCTGGTTCATGCACTCAGGAATTACTCCTGGCAGTGCTCAGGGGACCATTTGGGATGCTGGGAATCGAACCTAGGTCCTCTGCGTGCAAGGCAAACGCTCTACCCGCTGTGCTATTGCTCCAGCCCCCTATGACATTCAAAGACATATGAATCTATGTCTTTGAAGTCATATAGAGGTCCTCTTCACTATTTGAACGGACAACACTCCTATCTGGTAAGATATATCGGTTACTATTTACTATCTGGTAAGATATATAGGTTACTATTTACTTTTCTGTTATCAGGTATCTAACCCAGAGCCTTATATATGGGAAGCATCACGATCACGATCATCCTGTTGTTCGTCGATTGCCTCGAGCAGGCATCAGTACCGTCTCCTTCTTCCTAGCCCTGAGATTTTAAAAGAGCCATATTCAATGCTTTTTCAGGGCTAGGAGAATGAGACCTATCATTGTTACTGGTATTTGGCATATTGAGTACGACACGGGAAGTTTATGCTCTACCATTTAACTCCATTCCCCGTTTATCCTATAGGTAATTGTTGAGGTCTGGGGATGAAAAATATTTTTCTGTATAAATTAATGTTCGTAACATTCCTAGATCCCAAAAATAATTTCTAAGTTATCTGAAATAAGTAATGAGTGTGATTTGTGGTGACAGAAGTAAGTCAGATTAGTACTTGTACTTAGGAAAGTTTTTGCTGCTAGAGATATTTTCAGTGAACTGAAGCCCTTACGTTAGTGAAGAAAGGAGGTGGAGAAAGAGATTCTACAATGTATCTACTCTCAAAATTTTTGGGGTTCTTCAGAACAGATTTGAGTCATAGAATAAGAAAACTACCTGTGATTGAAGCCCACACCTAATATACTCGACCACAGAGCCACATTCCTGACCCCTGAATTCCACTGTTTGGCTTCCAAATAGATTACCATGACTTGTCTGAACTTCATGTAATAAGTCTATGGCCATACCAAACCTGAATGCACCTGATCTTGTCTAAACTTCATATAATATAATGATATAGCATTGTTAATATATTTTATAATGCTTAGCTTCTTTTGCTCAGTCTTAGTGAGATTCATACACTGTATTGCACATGAATACAAACCTTTGTTCGCTTTTTTATGTTATACAGTGCCATCATTAACAATATACTACATTAGGGTATGATGCCACCAGCAGGTCAATCTGTACCTGTGAGGCAAGTGCATTAGCAGCCTGATGGTGCCTTCAGACTTCCAGACACCCCAAAATTGCTGCTGTGCCTTTGGCCAGACCCCAACAACTTGGGGCCAAGTTTACCAAGAAAGTAAACGGCCAAAAGTTAGGTATGTGGGAGACACACTCACAAACCACCTCCAGCTCAGCTATATAATTGGAGGCAAGGCCTCGCTAGTTCCTGATCAAACATTAGGCCATGATCCCAGATACTCAGAAACAAATCTCAGAACCCAGCAGCTTTTGGCAAAAATGTGTCCAGTCCCTGCAGTAGGTTACTGGCACCAGGCCACCCCAGGGGGGAAAGGGGATGCCCCTCTGCCTGCTCCCCCTTGGTGGCAAGGTGGCCGCCATCTTCCAGAGGTTACTGGACAGTCAGGTTTGGGCCTGCAGTGACAGGACATGCGGGGCCTCATGGCATGGGGGTGGAGCCAGCCCTTTCCTCCCTGCCCCAATGAGACCCCAAGTCGCCACCCACAAATGGCCTCTCTGGCTCCTGATCAAGCTGCTTAACAGCCATGATCCCAGAGACTCAGAAACAAATCTCAAAACCCAGCAGCTTTTGGCAGAAATGCGTCCGGACCATGCAGTAGGTTACTGTTCCCGGGTCACCCCAGGGGGGAAAGGGTGCTGCCCCTCTACCTGCTCCCCCTTGGCGGCTCGGTGGCCAGCATCCTCCAGAGGCCATTGGGCAGTCAGGTTTGGGCCCGCAGAGACAAGACACGCAGGGCCTCATGGGATGGGGGTGGATCCGGTCCTTTCCTCCCCGCCCCAAGGAGATTCCAAGTCGCTGCCCGTGAACGGCCTCACCGCCTCTCTGGCTCCTGATCAAGCTGCTTAATGGCCATGATCCCAGAGACTCAGGAACAAATCTCGGAACACAGCAGGTTTTGGCAGAAATCCCTCCAGATTTAATTGTTAAAATTTCAGAATTCCAAAATCACGTGGCCACTACTTGGCCTTGTGACATCATATGTCACATAGTCAGCAACAGAAAACAAATTGTCTACTGTTGCCTTTTCGGCAGATCTGCATGTTGGGGTAAAATCCCAAATAATAATGGTGGGTCTGGTGTCAAAATATTGAATGTAATCAAAGTAGAGAGAGAGTAATGTGGAAATCATCTGTCCCACAGGTAGGGGGAGGGTGTGGGATGGGAGGTATACTGGGGTTTTTGGCGGTGAAAAATGGGCACTGGTGAAGGGACAGACATTTTAGTGTTGTATGACATAGACTTAAGCCTGAAAGTTTTGTAACTGTTCTCACAGTGATTCAATAAATAAATTTATAAAAAAGAAAAAAAAAGTAAGGTGGAGTTTATGCCCAATTCAATAAGCCTAATCAATGGCTGAATAAATAACAGTACTCTTACGTAAAAATAATACTACAGTTTATTTATTCAGTCTACTGCTAGAAATCTGGGTTGTTCCTAGTTGTAATTACTATGAACATGAATAGTTCTGCTGTGAACTTATATAGTCTTTGGTCCATGTATGTATGCATTATGTTGATTTATACCCAGGAATAAAATTGCTAAGTCATAGGATATATATTTGTTTAGCCTTTCTAGATACAACTAAATAATTTTTTGAAGTGGTTAAACTAATTCAGATTCTCACACGAGGATATGTAAATTCCAGCTGCACCAAATCCTAGAGAGACCCCTGAAGTGTAGTTGTATAAGCATCAGAGATAATCTATAATCCTCCACTTTTAGTAGTCATTTGGTTACTCTTCTGCTGTGGGATCATATCAACTTTTGTTGGCACCACACTGATTCCAACTGTTCTCATCCTTAGAAATGCAGCCAAGGAGAACTTTGGAGAAGTAGGAATGAAGTAGGGATAGAAAAGTGCTAGCTGAATAATTAGGAAAGGGAAGCAAGTGGATGGAGCCATCTCGGATTTTGTGAACACCCATTAATGCTCTGTGCTTGAGGGACTCATGCAGAGGAAGCACCTGACCCATTACACTATTTCCCATGCCCCCACCCTTTCTAGGGTGTATCCCTTAGTCAGGAGTTCCTGGACTGGAGAGAGAGCTCAAAGCTCTCATATACATGCTTTATCCATGCGAGACCCAGACTCCATCCCAGATACTACATTATCCTCCAGCACTGCTGGCGTGACCCCCTAGCACAGAGCTGGGAGTAACCTCTGTACACTGTGAAATTGGAACACTACCCTCATCTCCCTGCAAGAAAAAAAAAGTGCATTCTTTCGTTCTTATTGTCTCTGGGTTGTAGGAGATCCCAAACCCTGAAGGCTGTAAAGGAGAGACATGGAATCTGGAACGCCTGGGAGGGCCTCTTTCTTCCAAGGATGAAGCAGCAGCAGCCCAGCTGTTGCCAGCTGCAGTGGAAATTCTGAGTTCAAAAGTCTCAGGCAGCTTAAACTATTGGGGCCTTGAAAGGGAGAGCAGCATGCTGTTCTCTGGCCTCTTGGTTGTCTGCCTGCTTGTGCTTGGAGAAGAGTCCAAAAATATCGTCCAGGAGGAGTAGGATCACATTCCCCCCAACACCCCCATCTTAGTGTGTTCTTTTCCCACCTCTCAAGCATGGCTTGGCTTGTTCTGCCTAATTCACTGGGGAACAGAAGTCTTACGAAAAAAAGTCAGTGAAATAACCAGCCAAGGAACAAAACAGATACATCAATCATCTTATGTTCTCTAGGGATGAGAGCAG